AAGGTTTCATTATGTTGTCCAGGCTGGTCTCGAACTCCTGGGCTCAAGTGATCCTCCCACCTCAGCCTCCCAAAGTGCTAGGATTACAGGTATTGCACTGTGCCCGGCCCTCACTTTTGGTGTAAGCAACGTGGACTGCATTTCTGCCTGTGTCAGGGTTCTTTCAGGCAGCAAACCCTAATGAGTATTATGAAATAAAACATGCAATATAGAAACTTGAATTTACACACATGTGGGAAGAAAGAGGGAAGCAGATCCCCCAAAGGAGAAGCGGGAGGAGCCAGTCCCTCCACAGCCCTCCCAAGGCGGGAACACAGGAGTGGGAGGAGGGCTTGCAGGGAGACTGGGGAATGAGGCACTCAGCTCTGGAAACAGGACCTCACAAGGGCTGTTGGAGAAGCCTGCAGAAAGCCTTTGCTTCTGTGTGTCTGCAGTGAGGGGTGCAGCGGCCTGGGCTGCTGTGGGAACAGGACTGCAGCAGGAGGAGCCCACTCCCCCTGCACTCCTCTACCAATTTCTAATCTGGACGCCTTCCATGGGATGGCTCTAGCTTCTTCTCCACCCGCCAAATCTCATACACATTCCTCTGTGTGTCGAGTTTAGCCTGGAACCCCTGGGGAAGGGAATTCTGAGACGTGTGGCTTCACTTAAGCAACATCGCACTGCACACTCACTCAGAACACTTACTACACAGTGTCTCCTGAACCTGCCAGGACCTCCGACTGATCCACCCTCTAAGCACCTCTCACACAATCCCCCAGATGTGCAGGGGCTCCAGAAGCACCTGAGGCTGGAGCACCCTGTGAGCAAGCATTCCTGCCTTTGCTTCCTCCTCTCTGGCTGGGATGTCTGGAGAGTCCATGCTTCGCTTCAGTGCTGAGAAGTGGATGCTTCCTGCCAGTGGTTGAGGCCGCTGGGTCACAAGGGGACGCAGTCACAGCTCCCAAGCGACCCTCAATACGGGAAAAGCCCCACGTCTCAAAGCTCAAGGTCCTCAACTTCAGCAGGACCTTTGGGGGCTCTGCTCCTCTGCAACAGGGTCTCTCTCTCCTCAGCTCCATCACCTACAAGAAAACTCCAGTATAGTCCTTTTGCAGGCAAGCCTCACTCATGGGATGCTGTCAAAGGCAAGGGCCAGATGCCATGCCTGGCAAGGCTGGAGATCAGGGGCCCACCCCTCAGGGCACACCCTCTCCTTAGAGCAGTCCTTCACCTTGGCCACACAAGACTCGGAGCAGGGCGGGGGCAGGGCCACCTATGCCAGTTGGGTCAAACCCAGGATGGGCAGAGCTAGCGGCTCCAAAGCCCTCTCCCTGCCCACCTGACAAGGCTTCCTGAATGGGATGGCCCTATGTGAGTTTACGCATCCTGAGCCTGCTGGAAGCTTCCTCCCACTCTTGGTGGGGCCAAGCTCCGGTATTTGCATTCTCTCAGCTCCAGCCTCGTTAGTACTGAATGTTCTCTGTCTGCTTGGTGGTGAAGAACTCGGAACGCACTGCTCTGAGGCGCTCCATCCTGCCTCGTCTTCACTAACCCAACTGAATTAGTGCCCCCTGAGCAGTACAGTGCACCTGCTGGCCACCACCAAAACCCTGGCTTTCAGGGACAGTAGGCTTCCAACAGGACAGCCATCTTCTCCTGCCCTAATACCTGGATGCCGAACTAAAGCCAGTGTCCACGTGAAATCTCTGACCAGCTGCTTGCAAGCTTTTCCAGAAGTAACTTGAAAGTTCTCTGCTAGCTGGGCTTGGTGGCTCAGTCTGTAATCCCGCGCTTTGGGAGGCCGAGGTGAGTGAATTGCCTGAGCCCGCGGGTTCGAGATCTGCCTGGGCAACTTGGCGAGACTTCATCTCTACAATAAATAAAAAAAAACTAGCCTAGCCAGGCATGGTAGCACGCGCCTGTAGTTCCAACTACTTGGAAGGCTGAGGCGGAAGGATCGCCATAGCCCAGCAGGTCGAGGCTGCGTTGACTGGAAGCGTGCCACTGCCCTCCAGCCTGGGTGAGAGTGAGACTCCAACTCAAAAAAAAAAAAAAGAAAGTTCTCTGCTGCCTGGCAAGGCTCACATGCCATCTCTTTGGGGTCACCTCACTCGGACATCAGTGAGAGGCTTGGGGCAAGATTCTGACTGATAGCCCTCAAAGCACTCCATGGCCCAGTAAATTACAAGTGGGACAAAACACAGAAAACCAGCAGTTGCCAAGCTACCATGAGAAGTTATTTCTTCTTTTTGCAATTCCCTGCATTGTCTTTATAATAAAAATGGTAGGGCTGGGAGCGATTGGGTGGGATGGGGAGATGCCACAGCACAGCTCCACCATAAGGAAGGTTAAGCCATACTGCCATTGAATTATGACGTTTTGTCATGTCACAAGTCACTCGCCCAGGCATATCCTCCGCCAGTCTCAAGGATGCTGACCTTAGGATGCTGCTATGATGTCCTAGGAAAGCAACTCTTTTGACCTCTGTTAAAGAAAAGATTACCCTAACACTTGTTACAATGGCAAGGAAGACTATATTCAAAACTATTGCAATAGGGGAGACAGATCGGGCTCAACTCTGAATACAACAAAGGCAAGGGGGGATTTATAGCCAAGGAGGAGAGTAAAGGGATCAGTAAATGAAAAATTACTAAGGAGGACATCAAGGATAGGAAATTTTGGCCAGGCACAGTGGCTCATGCTTGTAATCCCAACACCTTGGGAGGCTGAGGCAGAAGGATTGCTTGAGCCCAGGAGTTCAAGACCAATCTAGGCAACATAGCAAGACCTCATCTCTACCAAAAAAAAAAAAATTAGCTGAGTGTGGTGGTATGCACCTGTAGTCCCAGCTACTTAGGAGGCTGAGGCAGGGGGGTTGCCTGAGCCCAGGAAGTTGGAGCTGCAGTGTGCTGTGATTGTGTCACTACCCTCCAGCCTGGGCAACAGAGACCTTGCCTCAAAAATAAAAATTAAAAATAAAGGATAGAATTTTTTGTGTTAAATTACCTTAAGTGTTAAGTAAAAATTACAGGAGGCCATTGTTTTGGACTAAGTTTCTGCACTAGTCCAGTTCTTTTTTTTTCTCCCCCGCCCACCCCACCCCCAGCACTTTTCTGTCTATAAAACCAACCTGTCTGCTCAGCTCATTACAACACTCATTCTGTTTTGTAGAATGAAGTGCTGCCCAATTAAAGAATCACAAATCCAATCATAATCTTAAAAGTGTTAAGGTTGCAGATAACTGAAACCACTTTTGTCAGACCCAGATAAAATAGGGTTGGAAGACATGGAGAGGATGCTCATGTTACATGTCTGAGACTTTCTAAAAACCCCACAAGAAACCCTTTTACATCCTTCATACATCTCATGTAAACATTCTTCAGGCCTGCAGTAATTCAGTTAAGATGCTCTGGAAAGAACACTTGTCCAGTAATGGCATCTCCACCAACGAACGGACAATAACTCTGACTTGGAGCCTCTGGAACCAATTTACTCTGTTGCTCAGCAACTTATGTGAACCACTCCCTTTTTGTTAACAAAAGCCTCCCTTGCCCTTTCCTCACTAGACGTACTGGTGGCTTGCTATTCCATGCATTCTGGGTTATAATCCTCATTTTTCATTCCGGAGTAAACTCAACATATTTAGAGATAATTTTCTCTTGTCTTCTTCTAGGGTGACAAAACTAAATGTGTTGCAATTTTGTCTTTCGACATGGATTCTTGGTAAAGGCAGACCAAGATAATCACCAAGGGTAGGGTGTGAGGAACTTAATCAGATATGGGAGGCGATCAGACATCCAGGGAGAAGGGATGACTTCACAGGATTCTTTGCTAAGATTAGACTATTCAGGCCTAGTCCAAAAGGGGGCTCAAAAGACCCTGACTAAAGTTTGGTCAAAGAGGGTCTCTGTGCTCTCTAATGAACTGAGATCCTGAACGCCTGTCTTGATATAACTGTAGCCCGGGTAACGATATTTAAAAAGTCATCTTTGTTTTTTTTAAAGACAGGGTCTCACTCTGTCACCCAGGCTGGAGAGCAGTGGCACAATCATAGTTCACCGCAGCCTCCAGTTCCTGGGCTCAAGTGATCCTCACACCTCAGTCTCCCAAGTAGATGGCAGTAGAGGTATGTGCCACCATGCCCAGTTAATTTTATTATTTGTTGCCAAGGCTGGTCTCAAACTTTTGGGCTCAAGCGATCCTCCCACCTTGACCTCCCAAAGTGCTGGGATTACAGACGTGAGTCACTTGTGATTTCAAAAAGGCTGAAATTCTCTGCTGGGCCTGCCTATGTCATGGCACCTTCGTTTTTTCTGTGAGTGTTGGCAGGGAGCTAGGGAGGGAATAAATACATCCCTAGGAAGGCCCTGGGTTTTCCCAAGAGTTTATCTATCTATCTATCTATTTAAGTTGGAGTCTCACTTTGACGACCACACTGGAGTGCAGTGGCACGCTCCCAGCCACCGCAGTATCGACCTGCTGGGCTCGGCGATCCTTCCAAGTAGCCGGAACTACAGGCGCGCGCTACCACGCCCGGCTAATTTTTTTTATTTATTGTAGAAACGAGGTCTCGCCAAGTTGCCCGGGTGGGTCTCGAACCCACGGGCTCAGGCAATTCACTCCCCTCGGCCTCCCAAAATGCTGGGATTACAGGCTGAGCTTCCCAAGAGTTTAAGTCTCCGGAAATCGGAGCCATGAAAAAGCCCTTCCATCCACGCGGGGCCCGCACCCAGAGACAAGCCCCGCCGCTGACGCGCGTAGGGCCGATTCCGTCCCGCCTCGGAGCTCTTCCCACCAGCACTGGAACATCTCACAGACTGCTGCCGGAACCCACTGTGCCCGCCCCGCCCGGCGCACCCCAGCGGTGATTTCCCTCTTGCCGCGCGCTTGCGGTGTCGCATCAGAATGGCGTCAGAGGCGAGCGCCCCGACGTTGCGCATGCGTAGGACAGAGCTAGCGCCCGCGTCCCAAGAACTGAGCCGACGCGCTCCCAAGTAGTCTAAGTGACCCCAGGGCTCGCGCCGCCCCGCCCCCTCGAAGATCAGCCAATGGGCGCGCAGGATCCGCCCCATGACGACACGAGCCCCTCCCCTGGAGACGCGCGCCACGCAGCCGTCACCGGCCAAGGGAGTGAAGGAACTGAGGGGTGTGGGGCTGCCGACGGCTGGGCGTAGGGTCCGCTGCGCGGCCGCCATGAAGCTTACGCGGAAGATGGTCCTGACCCGTGCCAAGGCCTCGGAGCTGCACAGCGTACGCAAGCTCAACTGCTGGTGAGGCGGAGAAGGGAGACTCCCACCCGGCACGTCCGCCCCGTGGGTGGGGAGCGGAGGGGCCCGGAGTGGTGGTCGCCTCGGCCAGTCGCTGCCCCAGGTTAACCCCCGCGGCCTGCCCAGCCTGCCTGGTCCTGGGGCCCGCAGCCTCGGAGGGTTCCCACAGCCCAGGCGGCCGTTGGCAAAGATCGTTCCAGCATTTCTAGGCTCCCTGAGCGGTGATATTAAGACATAGTCTCCAACGTGCCTCTGTTGCTCCACACAAGTGAAATTATGCAGTGGGCTTTCAGACAGCGGCAGTGGGCAGATGATGGTGCCCTCTGCGGAGGGGTGTGACATTTGAATTGCCAGTTTGCTGATAGGGTGGAAGATCCAGTCAGTTAACTCCACTTCAGAAAGATAATTAAGACTCTAAAGGAATGAGTCCCGAAACACATTGGGAATTGCCAACTGGGGGACGGCTGTGTCCAGGGTACTCGCTGTCTGGCAGGTGCCAGGAAGCGACAAGGGACATGGGTGCTGCGGGATCGATGCAAGCAGGTCTCACCGTGCCAAGAAAGACCAGAAGCTTCTAAAGGAGGCAGCCTGAAGTTAAGGCCTGCAAGACCTACAGGTGTCCCCTGGGAACTCACTGTGCAGGTGGGGGATGAGGGCACAGCCAGAGCACACTCTTGCTCTCTATGATGTTAGCAGACTGACTAGAGTATGTGAGTTATGCGTGTTCACTATAAAGCCTTTTTCTTGGCCCCGGCACATCTGGGTGTTTGGACCACAATTTCCTTGTGTAATTTCTTTCAATAATGCATTTCTTTGTTTTCTGGCACGGGATGGTCAATACTTTAAGCAGGGAGAAACAACAAACCTATTTCAGGCTTTCAAAGTTTGCTTCATATGTCGCATGTTTAGCCTTTCAATTTGGCCTCTCATGAATACTCTGTTGTTTATGCCAGTGAAGGAAATTAACCTTCTGCTATTCAATGACCATGAGAATGAGTAAATATTTTTTTGTCCTACAAATGTAGTAAGGCCTACTGCTCCTTAGACACCCCCCAAGCATCAAACATATGGTTTTGTTGAAAATCTATAAGAAAACAATTTTGACACCTTTGCTTGTTACCTGGACAATCTTTCTTTTTTATTGTGTCGTTAAAATTATAGAATCTTAAGGTTTGTAGGCGGTCATTGTTCATTTTTGAAATTTTTGTTTTCAGTATTTTTATTCAACTTTAACAAAATTAAAGTACGTGTGTCTTTTCTTTCCCCAGGGGCAGCCGTCTCACAGATGTAAGTATTGTGTTGATCATCTCAAGATGGCCCCATCCCGAAAGCTGTGGCTCCTTCCCCAAGAGAATTGTTAAATTGACAAAGCTGCAGCCATCAATTCATTCCCACACTTAGTACTGTGTTCACTTAGCAGTTTTTGTAATGCAGAACCACTGATGAAAAGACAATTCTCTAATGCCTACATTTGCTTGGAAGTTTCTGTAAACATTCCCATCAACAAGACACTCTGTCACTTGCTGGTCTTGCTCACAGAGGAAGGGAACAGAATTAGGGGCCCAGCCTAGAACTTATTCTCACCTGGAAAGTAATCCGAGGAGGGCGTATTCACCTGGTTAAGGAGAAGTGTGACCGTCTCCTTAGTCTCCTTATCTTCCTCCCCTCTTGGTCAGATCCAGCCTCATGTCTCCCACACCCCACCCCACCAGCCTGCAGAGGTTGAGTCTTGTGGGGGAGAACTTGAGCCTGTGGCTCTGTGAAGAGATTTCCGTTTCCTTTTCTCTTTCTCTCTCAGTCCTAGGATGAATGTCCCCAGCTTACAGAGGGATGTGTGCCAATAATTTTTTTTTTCTTATCATCCTTTGTTTTGTAACTTAAACTATACTTTTCCTTAAAACAAAATGCTGCTGAGTATCTGGTCCAGACACATTCTGCCTCATGCTGTAACTAGAATGCTGCATATTTAACAGCAAACATACAAAAGTACTGTGATCAGACACTTGAATCCCTCACACATTATGAAGCATTCTGCCCAGACTGTGCACTTGTTGAGGTCAGGGGCCCAGCATATAGTGGGTTCTCGTGTATGTGGGGTCACCCCATGCAGTAGCCCTACAGGCAGTGAAGGATTTGTGGACCATCTGAGCCCCTCACTGCTCTGTCCCAGACGTGAATGTGGTCTGAGAGCCAGTCTCAAGCCTGTCTCCCTTTCAGCCTGGTTTTGTTGGCAAGAAGGGACTTCCACTCCTTCCTTATATCTTGGAGGCAGCAAGAAGAAAGTCTGCCCCAGCACAGGGGACCTTGAGGTCCCCTTACCTGACAATCTCTGAGGGCATCTAAAGTAATGAATACTCTGTCTCTACAACTGGTGGCCTTTGATAGCATGATGCCATTTTAAAATTGCATATATATGAAGAGAGAGTGTGCAAGTGAGCATGAGTCTCACGCTTCTTAAGTTTGGGGGAGCATTGGCTGCATATGTACACATCTATATGTAAGCACACAGGGCGTGACACAGCCCAGCATGCTCACATGTATTCCTTCTGAGTGCTCGTGCTCAGCGATGTTTGCCAGTCACGTTCTTTTCCTTCTAGATTTCCATATGCCGGGAAATGCCCAGCCTGGAGGTGATCACCCTCAGGTACTGCACGCTTGCCATCTTGCCAAGCCTGGGGCATGAAAGCTGGGAAATAGTCTCACATTGCTCCTGTGGGCCCGAGGGCTGAGGTGACCTGGAAACGCCCAGCAGTCGGGAGAGTGGCTTCTGGAGCAAGGCTGTGAGAGCCAGGCAGCCCCTGCAGCTCCAGGCTCCACCTTCCTCCCTCAGGGTCACCCTGGGCCTCCTGTGGCTTCCATCCCTTGCCAGCCCTGCCCATCCTCTGCCTCTGTGCTCCAAAAAGTCATCTCTGCACTCCCTGGCCACAGTCAGCAGGTGGAGCCCCTGTGATGAGCAACCTCCCCGGCTGCCCTCACAGTGGCAGTGTCTGCCTCCAGGGACTCCATTGTCTCAGCCTATCTTGCCCTCTTGGCTTCATAACTGCCAGGAGTCCCCAGTTCCTTTACATCCCATGACCTGTCATTACTAGCAGTCCCTCTCCTGGGAATCATTGTTCTTCTGACAGATCAAGGAATTTAAAGAGCCAAAAGTTCTTATGGGAATTTAGGTCACTTGGCAAGTATGGGGTATCTGGGGAAAGGAAGAGCGCCCTGTGCCCGTGAACGCCCTCCCACCCACTTGACCTGAGGAGGAAGCTGACATTCGTAGCTCACACTGCCCCCAGATGCCGGGTGGGTGCCTTCTGTAGTTCCCCCATGTGACATCTCACAAAGAGCTAAACCCTCGGGGAAGGCAGACTCCCTGTTAGGTGGTTCAGAAGGTTCCAGACTCACCATCTGGGAGGGGCTATTGTAGGTTTTGATCCCTGTGCCAGCGGCTGTGACCGACAGCCTCCTTGATCACAGCCCCACAGGTGGGCCAGCCCTTCTCATCCCTGAGACTCTTCCGGCCAGTTCATTTTTCATTACACCTTCTGAAGTTGGTATTGATGCCTGTATCCAGTCTGTTGCCCACCGTGAGGCTGAGGCTTGTCCACCTGGTATTCAGGATCCCCTCCTCCTGCAGCGCTGGCACAGCCTGTCCTGCCTGTGCCTTCTTGCCTAATGAGTGAATGGATGGACTTAGAACCGTTCTCCTGATCAGATCCAAGACCTCCTGCTTCTTGGCTACCTACCTCAGGCAGAGCATGGGTCTGTTCTGTGCCTTGGTTTCCTTATCTGCAACACGGAGAGTCCTGCACACCCCACAGGACTGATGAGGAGTGGCTGTAGTCACGACATAGAGCATCTGGCAAGTGTGCAGGCATCAGTTGCCCATTGTTGATGCTATAGTTATTGTGAAGTGAAAATTTCAGTCCCTGCCTCAGAAATAAATGTATAACTTTTGGTTCCCCCAGAATGACAGAAAACTTGAAGTGGGGTGTGGATTTAGCCCTGTCTCTACCACACACGACCGACGGAGAGTTGCTTCTCAGCCTCTCTGAGCGTCAGGCTTCTCCAGTACAGTGGGGATTCTTGTCACATGTTGGGAAGAAGGGGACACCCAAAGTGTCTGGCCCAGCACAGGTACACAGCACATGGATGTCTGACTGGTGGAACTGAGTGGGGATCACCACGGTGTGAGGATTGCCACATGCACATTGGCCTCTGAGATGAGGTCATGGCATTGGCCTTAGCGCCCATAGGTGGAGAGCAGTGGAGGAGGAAGCCGAGGGCACTGCCTGGGGGGATGTGTCCTGTACTTCATGCTGCCTGTGCCTCAGGCAGTTCCCTGATGGAAGGATCCCACAACCTTAGTTTTTTGCTCTTGGTAAAGTGGATCTGCCTCCAACCTAGACACTAAGTGAAATAATGCAGAGGACAGATTTGGCAATCTCTTGGCACCAGAAGCTGCATGATGAGTGCTCAGTGTGGCAGGCAGCCCTGGGGGACCAGCCCTCCCCTCAGAGTACGTGGTGGACATGAATGCAGCTCTGCGGGCAGAATGCAGCAGCTGGACTGGCATGTCCGGTCCCTGGTTTGTGGGAGAATGCACAGCCACCTTTGCATGAGGGGACAGGCATTTGGCTGTGGAGTGGAACTGTGGGGCAAGTCTTCAGTGGGTGGGTTAGACCAGTAGGTCCCTGCTGCATACTGCCTTGTGCTTCTGTATCTTTCATGTGATCCCTTCCTGTAGAACAGAAGTTTAGCCTGTTTCCTTTGTTTCTTTATTGTGGGGTCTTGGCTCTGTGTGATGTGGCACCTGCATGAATTTTTTGCCGTGAAGTTTCTGGCCACTGCTTTGGGGTAGTGATGTATCCTTGGGAAGCCCTTGTTCCCTCCCTGTGGAGGAGGATGAAAGTCCCCCAGCAGCACCCTGAGATGGCTTACTAAGGAGCTGGGGCCGAAAGGATGCCCCTGGGGCCTGCTCCGACCCACCTTCCAGCACAAGGATCCTCCCAAAAGCTTTCTCCTCCATCCTTGGGTCTTCAAGGCATGAAACTTGTTACCTTCAGTGTTTGGCCTCCTCAAGAGGCAGAATACCCATGAGTGTCTTGTTCCAGCACTTGTGACAGATGGGACCCTGTCCCTAGCCACCCTCCTAACCGTGGTCCTCTACATGCAGTGTCAACAGCATATCAAGCCTGGAGCCCATGAGCCGCTGCCAGCACCTGAGTGAGCTGTACCTGCGGAAAAACTGCATCCCCAGCCTGACTGAGCTCTTCTACCTGAAGGAGTTGCCGCGCCTGCGGGTGCTGTGGCTAGCCGAGAACCCGTGCTGCGGCACCAGTTCCCACCACTACCGAATGACCGTGCTGCGCACCCTGCCCCGCCTGCAGAAGCTGGACAACCAGGGTGGGTGGCATGGTCAGTGACTTGTGCAACAGAATTTCCCACCTCTCCTCTTATCCTTTCCGTAGATCCCTAATCAGGCATGATGTAGAGTCTCCTCCATGCCATCTCCTCAAGGAGCAACCCCCAGCCTGCACTATCCCTCTGAATTGTCATCCGCACGGCCTCTCAGCTAGGTGCAGCATGCAGTCCCCTGTGATGGACAGGTGCTTAGGCCTGGCTGTTGAGGGTTGCTAGGCAGTCTCTTCTGCTCCTGTGAAGAGCAGTGCAGCTTTAGACATGGTTCACTGTCCTGCGTGACTCTAGGGTGGCCACTGCTGCAGGCAAGAGTTCCCATCACTTCTCCCAGCCCAAGGGGCCCACTCTCACACTCTCCCCACCGGGGGTGCATGGGGCTTACTGTGATTCTGACACATAGCTCCTTGGTCACCCATGAGAGAGCCATTCATGTGGTTGTGGCCTTGGTTACCCATAAAAGGGTCACTTGTGACTGTGGCCTCAGTCACCCATGAGGGAGCCGCTCATGTGGCTGTGGCCAGGTGTGCTGGCCCTGCTGAAAGTCCTAGCTCCCTGTGTTCCTGGGGGCTGTTCCTTTTCTTGTTAACCAACAGGCATTCCTAGCAGGTTGGTTTCTTTTCTTGTCAGTTATATGGGCACAATTATTTTCTCTCAGGTAAATGATTTTATTGTAAATAAACTTCAGGGAAACTAAGTCATGTGAGTGAGATAGAGTGAGTATAGCGTAGTCTCTTTTTAACATTCGTCGTACTTGAAGCTTCTCTGAGTATTTGCTTTAGCAGTTGCTGGTGTTTAGATTCACATGCCTTCATCAGCCATCGGCTGCATGTCCGACCCGTGCTAGGGCTCTGAATGGGAAGGTGGTGGGACTGGCCCTGCCCTCTGGCCTCGAGGTGGGCAGATGTGTGATTTCAAATCAGACCATGCTGGGGCCCGCAGTAAGGACCAGAACCATGGCATGGTGTACACCTGGGGAGGCCACTCTGATTTCATCCTCTCTGCTTTTCCCCAAAGCTGTGACAGAGGAGGAGCTATCCCGTGCATTGATGGAGGGAGACGAGATCACCACCCCGGGCAGAATGGGCATGGACAATGGCTGCCCTGAGCCATCCTACACTCTGGGCCCCATCAGCTCTGCTGCCGAGACCAACCGGGACTTGCTGGGCAACAGCGAGGAGGAGGCAGAGTGAGGCTCCAGGCAGTGGGGACTCCACGCCCATCCTGGGCCCTATGGGGAGCTGAGGGGTGCTTTCTGTGACCTGCCTCTTGGGCCGTGAGGGTGGGGTTGTCTAAGGTGGTGTTCTTTCCCGTCTGTCCTCCAGGTGTGACTTCAGGACCCCTCTGTCAGTAATTTTGGTAGCACATCCGTGTTTCTGTCAGCCTGCACATGTTCTGGGGGCAGGATCATGTGGGGGTGCAGGGAGCTGGCAGGGACACAGCCTGGAGGCCACACTCAGTGGAGGGATTAGTGGGCACATGAGGATGCTGACTGCGGCCATCAGTGGCCTTGGGCCAGGCCGTGGAGGGGCTGTATGGCTGAACCGCGCTGCTCCTGGCATGTGGCTCAGGCACCTCTGAGGGCAATTTCCTGTATGTTCTGAATGTGTTTGAGCAGAAACACCAGATGTGCTGTAGAGACAGTTCTTTGGGGGTGGTCCCAGGCTGTCCAGGAGTCCACATGGCTGGTCACGCCCCATGGTATGTCCCTCCTGTGGGGGCCACCGGGATGCGACTTCCAAGGTGGGCTGGTGCTGCCCAGTGCCTGGACTTTGGCCCATGTTATTTGTTTGTAGGTGCCCCTCACCCTGCCCTGCTGCCCTGGGTGAACACGCTACAGCTGGGGAGCCCTGGGGTATAGAAGGTTGCCCCCTTGCATGAAGAAGAAGCACAGCTCCCTAGGGTCCCTTTGCCTCACAGAGCTGGCTTCCCTCTCTTTCCCTGCATCCTGGGTGGGGTGTGTGACATGGGATGTGACCTGCAGGCATCATCTGCAAAGGTGATGGGTGCCCTGAACCCCCGCCCCTCATACACCTTTGTCTCCCTGTAACCAGCAGTGACCAGGGCCAGCTCTGCCAGAAGCCCCTTTCCCAGGACCAGTTTCCTTCTTTCTCACAAAGGGACACTTCCAGCAGTCACAAGAACAGGGTGAGTGACCGAGGCCACTCTGGATGGGTGGCTGCTACACCCTCTGCCCAGAATTTAGAAATGGGGGGCAAGGTTGGAGATATCACCGGGGGCCTCACAGAGCCAAGTCCCAAAGAGTGAGCTGACCCTCAGGACCCATGTTCCTGGGTTCCAGACCTAGGCTACTTAGAAATTGCTGAGCAGGAAGAAGGTACTTGGGGCAGCAGAGCTGGTTTCAGTGGAAAGTGGCAGCCTCAGAGAGAGGAATCCCCAAAACCAACACCCAGTGAGCCACATGGCATGAGGGGGGCCCCAGGCAGTGGGCAGACCTCCCATGTCTGTTGGTGCTGGAAACTTCTAGGCCATCCTGGGTAGGCTGGTATGACCATGCTAAAGGTGGCAGAGAGTTGCTGCTTATGGAGAGACCTCCTGTCTGCAGTTGGATATGGGGAGCGTCTTGTCCCAACCAGGGTGGCTGGGAACATCGTTGGTGCCAGAGCACTGGGTAGCAGATCCCGGGGCTCTGGGCCAGTGCCGTGATGAGAAGGCTGAGTGGCAGCAGCCCGGTGACAGCATCTGAGACACACGGGAGGGCAAGGGAGACTTGCAGGGAGGCAGGAGCCTTAGGCTGTGGCAGAGGTCGGGATCAGGCAGGTATGTCACTCTTCTAGCCTCACACGTCATCTTGTATGTATAGAACCCTCCCTGCCTTCTGGCACCATCCCTTCATGGGACACAGAAGCTGTGCAGTGGCTCCGTGGTGCGTGGCTGTGAGCACGTCACATGCTGTTCTGGCTGCTCAGCCTCTGTGCCTCAGTTTCATCTGTGAATGTGGGCCTTGGCCCTCCCAGACTGCGAAATGGGTGAATCCATGTGGAGTAAGCGACATGTGTGTTCATGGCTGAGAGTTTCCTTTGTATGGACTCTCTCTGTGTCTGTACGGACATTTGCCTGGAAGGTCCCCACCCCTAGGCTGTCCACTCCATGTGGGTCCTTGCAGTGGAGAGCAGCCTCGTGTTGCTGGGGTGGTCTTAGCCCATCCCTTGTCTGCCCTCAGAATATCCTGACCGCCATCCTGCTGCTGCTGCGGGAGCTGGATGTGGAGGGGCTGGAGGCTGTGCAACAGACAGTGGGCAGCCAGCTGCAGACCTTGCGTAGGCGGGAGCGACCAGAGCTGCAAGAGCATGCAAAGTGACCATCCTGGGAACCTGGACAGGCCCTCTACATGGAGCCCAGTGGCTCCCTGGCAGCTGGGAGCTGGAGAGCCACTGCTGCAGCCCCACATGGAAACCAACCTGGTTTGCTACACAGGCTGGGGATATTGGGAATGTCTGACAGGCTGAGTGACCTGGCTCCTGTTTCAGCGGCCAAGGAGGAACCAGCAGGGCTGGGAGAGATGGCTGCTCACACCAGGACGTCTGGAACTCCCTTCTGTGCTTGGTAGGATCTGGGCTCCGCTTGGCACTTCTTAAAGAGAGGGCTGGTGGGCATCCTTCGCAATAAAGCATTATCCAAATCAGATATGGAGGCGCTAGCTCCCACATAGCAGGCTGGCCCTGACATTCTTCTGAGGTTAGGCTGTGTCTCGGCATGAGAGGGCACAGTCATGAGCGGCTCTGCTGCTTCAGTCCTTAGTCCTCGGACAGGTTTCTGTGGCCCACCAGAGACAATTGGAATGGTGACATCCCTGCTGACAGCTGACTTGGCTCGCCATTGCCTGCTTCTGTTGAGAATATTTTTTTTGGTGCAAGGTGGGACATAGGCACCCTCTCTCCTCTGAAGAACATTGCAGGAGTTGGGGCGTCCACCTGGCTCCAAGGGAAACCTAGGACTGCAGCCCTGCTCTATTGGCTCCAGGCATGGCCACCAGAAGCAGCTGGGCATCTGAAAGGTTTTTCTCTGGAAGAGCCACAGGTCTGGTGAGGATGCCAGAGTTTGGGCAATGACCCAAAGCTCTGGGACTTTCCTAGTGTCCCCCAAAAGGATGCAATCACATGAAAGGGGAAGAGTGTAGCCTTTGAGCCACTATGGAGAAAAATCATCTGCTGTGGTGACACAAGTGGAACTGAAGCAAGAGGTGGCTTTCCCTCTGCCCCCATCCAGTTAGGAGTTGGAACACAGATCTCCATCATGCCCACATCCCCAACAGACTGAGAGCATGTTGGGTTGTGTAGTGACAGCATGGGGAGACCACTGCTTGCCCAAGCCTGGCCATGTGCAGACTGTCACACCATTTGAAGAAGAAGCTGCATGCATCTTGGTAAGATCCATTTTCAGAATTGGCAGGAGCCACTGCAGCTGGACCTGGAAGCTTAGGGAAAGGAATTTTGTCTGTGGGGTGCTTCGTAAGCTCTTGGGAGGATGGGAGGCAGCACTGGGAACTCCTGGGGCCTGTCCATGCCTCGTTGTCATGTGATGTCAGATGCTCAGTTAATCTCTTCCCGTTGGCTCTTGATTTGTGAGAGGGGCTGAGATGGAAGGACTTTCCACATGATAGGGTGTTTCCTGGTCTCCTTTTGACCTGAGCAGGACATAGTCGTTCTCTGTGGAAGCACTCCTGTGGTTTCTGTCTCCAGGTGCCTGGAGTGTGCTCACAAGTGTCTTACCACTGGGGGTTCAGAGTCCCGTCAGTTGAGACATAAGGAAAGCATTTAAAGTCTTTGCTGCCAGTGGGGTGCTCAGGATAGACACGGGCCCACCCAGAACCCCTCTCCACAGAGCAACCCTGGGAGCCTTGGCATCTGAGTGGCAACGTCTAGGGTGTGGCAACAGCCTGGGCATGGAGCATGTGCCACCAACATGTGGTGGCTGAATTTTTCCCCAGCCGGGGAGAGCAGCGGAGTCCCAGAATGGCCTCACAGAGTGACGTGTGGTTGAACTGCAGGCCTGCATCCAAATACCACACCCCTACACGGGGCCCCCGTGGTCAGGGGCTCTGCTCTCTATCCTGAAACGCCTGACTATAGAATGAGGGCTGCTGCTCATCCATTTGCAATGGGCCCCAAGAGCTCTGTAGCTGGGCCTGGCCTCAGATGTTGTTGGAACATCAGATGTCACCCTGTCCTTGCAAGTCCATTCCAAAACAGCACCATCGTTTTTCATGTTAAAAATGCAATCCTACGCCAGCAGCAAAGCTGCATGGCACAGCAGTATGCTGGGCAGGATGGGTGGTCATGATTCCAGGCTGGGAGACCAGCCCAGCTGGTGCTCTCCTGCCTCAGAAGAAAAAACCTGCAAACCTCGCCCAAGTTAGTGGTGTCATACATCCGCTGTGAGGCCTTCACTCAGCTCGAGCAAGGAAAGCTGGCACTGTCTCATGTGCCTGTTCCCATGTCCTTCCGATGAAAATCTGACCAGTGAGAAATCCCCCAACCAGAATCACCAGACTGAAAGGGATAAACTGTGTGGCCAGACTATGGTAGTGCCTGGCACAGCAACCCAGATGCTGCACACTTGCACAAGGGAGACAGGTTGGGTGTCGTGCTCTGCACTAGGTGTGGGCCCTTCCACCCCTGCTCCAGAAATGAGCAGCCCAAAGCCCCAGGTTCTAATGTGCTTCCCTGGACACATTAAGGCACTCAAGGGTGGGAGTCCCAGCACCCTCACCAGGTCCCTAGAGCCACCCAGCTGGCCTGAGCCAAGCAGGGAACCAACTGCCCTGGGGACCCCAATGTGGTCTGCAGGCCCTTTGCAGCCAGGATCTCCTCCAGAAGCCTCATCCTGAGCCCCCACATGGTGCTGAGGGACAGGAGCAGCCCTGTCTACAGCTCCCACTGTGGTGGGAGCAGATGTGAACTGCAGCAGATGGGCTCCTTGCATTACAGTGGGCAGGTCAGCAAGTATCCAGAGTGTTGGCCCTGGCTCAGGGGCGTGGCCAAGACCCAGCTTTCCGACTAGCTGATGTATGCTGCCTCCCAGAATTGCGTGGTGGGCCTCGGCATCCAGCCCCTAGTGGTGATGCATATCTGTTCTGACCACCTTCCCTTTCCCTCCTCCCTCACCCACTCCACCATCGTCACCTGGGATTCTGGCCCAGGCTGACTCTGGAGTACCATCTAAGGTCAGAGGCAGGGATTGGGAGCCAGGCTGAGAAAGAGTCTGCATCTGTAGGAATGAGGATGCCTTCAGGGCCAGGCCAGGAGAGGCCCAGGTCACCCTAGAGAGTCCTAGAGAGTGACTGTGGCCTCCAAAGGCAGGTATCTCTGGGGCCTGGCCTGGCCCTGGAGCCAGAGGGCCCTCCAACCCTGGAGCCACTGTCCACCGGGCTGGCCACGTGGTACCACTCACCTTCCCTCCCCAGAAGTCCTGCAGTCCATGCTTCAGATGATTGGACTCCACAGTTAAAATTTTATTTCTGGCAAAGGTGACAAGCACTGCTCAGTCCTGGTGGCTTGTGCAGGTGGGAGCAGGTCACAGTGAGGCCTGGCTAGCAAGGCCCCTTTGACAGACTTAGTGCCGGCAGCCCGTGAGAGTGTGGGTGCAGGCTGGCCAAGGTGAGTGCACCCAGTGTGAGGACAGACTGAGGCCCATGAGGTGCCATGCCCCTGGCAGAAAGGTGGGTGTCCCATGGTGCTCTGTCCTGTGGGAGGCCCCGTAGGCTGGTCTTGAGACAGCCAGCCTTATGGGCAGCTGGGAATGGACACTGGGGCTGTGAGAGCCCAGAGTTGGGCTGAGCAGGGCCGCAGCCCCCACCTGTCTGTAGTCTCCAGGTGTGCATTCCGGGTCCCCAGCCCCAGTCTGGGTGTTGGGCTGTTGCCGGCACAGGCTGGAAGAGGTGGGTGCAAGGTGCAGCCTCAGAAGCCCTTGTCGATACTCAGCGTGCGGCGGGTGACATGCTCCAGCTCCCCGGACACATAGTCAGCCATGCTGATGCGGTAGTGCGCCAGCATCTTCAGCATCAGCCGCAGGTTCAGCCACCACTGCTCCCGCGGCATGCGGTGCCTGTGGCAGGTCAGGGGTCAGAAATCAGGGACCAGGCAACTTCTTGGGCCCACACAGGCCCCCTCCCTCTGGACATGTCAACATCAGTGAGGCCTGGTGGTGTGTCTGAGGTCCCTGTCCCTCGGGGGCCTGCTACAGAGGGGTTGGGTGCAGCAGCCCTCAGACTTGCCCAGTCCTGGCTGCCTCCCTCCCCTGCACACTGCCAGGTGTCACCCTCAGAAGACCTGGGCAAGATCCCTGCTCTCTACTGCCTGGCAGGGACCCTGGGTGTCAGGGTCGAGGAGGCCTCATGGGGTCAGGGCTTGAGTGGGGTGGGGCCTGGCACACCTGCCCCTGGGAGAAGGTCTATTATACCCCTCAACCTCCACCCCTCTCCACGGGGCTTTGGAGGTACTTACTCGAAGTCGGTGTCTTTCTTGAGTTCCGTGACAGGGCTGAAGGCCACTGCCTTCTTCTGCAGGCCAATCACGCAGGCCGAGTCCGGGGCGTTGGCAAACACCCGCCCTGAGGACACAGGTACGTGGTGGCCCCCAGGCCAAGCCTCGCCCCAGGGCCCTGATAGAGGGTAAGGCCAGGCCGGGGCCCCCTCCCACCTACCCTTGCGGTACACCTGGCGCAGCTTCTCTGACATCCAGAGCATGGCCTTCACCCCAAGCTTGGTGCCATAGTTCCGGTCAAAGGGGGTGGGAGCACCGCCCTGGAAAGAGCAAGGCCAGGGTGAAGGAGCAATTACCAGAGCTGCCAGGGCTGAGGGGAGAGGGAGGCCCAGCCTCAAGGCAGACAGGTTCCCCAGTGAGTCTTCTGGGCAGTTTCTGAAGTCACGTTTTTGGTCTGTTCTTTTTGGTCTTTTAGTCTGGAAGCCCCCCAAAGTCCAGCCCAGAAGCCACCTGCAGAGGCCAGCAGAGGTGGCCCTGGTCTCTGCACCTGGCAGACAGTGGGCCCTCCATGGGTCCCACATTGAGCAGCCTTGGCTGCTGCTCTCCAGCTCAGAAAACCCCACAGTGAGGAGCTGGGCTCAGGGTCTGAATGCCCTGGTTTGCATCCCAACCCACCCCTTCCAGGACTGAGACCACAGTGAGATACAGGCTGTGAAGGGGGATGGACACATGCACTGAGCAGGGGGTCTGAGAACTAGACCACCGATGAGCAAGACCTGGCATGAACACATGGTGTCTGCACACGTATGTGTCAGTGAGGGCCGTCTTCCCACTACCCCTGGGTCTGGGTACAGATGGAGGCAGGACAAGGGACGGGGCTGCTGACAGGATAAGCCCTGACTCCTGATCCATGCCCCGCCTGTACCTGCTGCAAGTGGCCCAGGACGTTGGTCCTACAATCAAAGACGCCCTTGCCCTCTGATGAGTACAGGTTGTACAGGAACTCTGTGGTGTAGTGGTCGTGGCACTTCTCATTTCTGGAGGGGGCACAGCAGGGCCCAAGTTAGGTGGGAACAAGGTCAGGCCTTGCCCCACATCCTGCATCAGGCCAGGCTGGGAGAGGGAAGGCAGGTGGACACCTGTCCAGCCTTTCCAAGGCTCCCTGTGGCCTTCTGCCCAGCTGCCCCCAGAAGCCCTGCTCCCAGCTACAGGGCTTGGAAGCCTGTTGTCCCAGCCTCACCGAAGCACCAGGCCCCTCTGAATGTCTGTCTTCATCTTTTCCGTCATGTGCTCCACATTGGCCTGGGGGGAGAAGGAGGCAGATGAGTGGAGGGGAATGGGGATTCCAGGCAACCAGCAGGCCAGGACCCAGGGGAGCTCTGGCAGACTTGGGTGGGTATGTGAATCAGGGGAGCACTGGGCTGTGAGCCCCAGCCTGCTGGGCTCTGTCCCTGTGCCAGATCCATCCTGTGTGTCTGGGGGACTCAGGGTGACCCGCTGGGTGTTCTGCCACCACAGGGGGGGCTAGGTTGAGCTCACCTTTAGGTCGTGGATGTTGAAAGGGTCTTCAAAGACATAGGCGGCGTCGGCTCCTACAGCGATGCCTGTCACGGTGGCCAGGTAGCCGCAGTAGCCCCCCATGGTCTCCACAATGAACACACGGCGCTTGGTGCCCGAGGCCGACTGCTTGATGCGGTCGCAGCTCTGGGGGCCCAAGGAGCAAGGGTCCTCTGTGTGTCCCCCTCCCCACTGGGCTTTTATAGCTACACTACAGGGACCCCATGATTCTCCCAAGCCACCAGCCTTGGGGTGGACAGGGGACCGGGAGCTGGCAGCATAGGCATAAGCCTGCCTCCACCAAGGCCACAAAGAATCAGAGTTCTCAACTGGGACAAAGGACAATAGCCCAAAGACATTTCCGGTTGTCACGGCAGGGGGCGTCACTAGCATCTCAAAGGGAGAGGCAGGGGTCTTGGCAGCAAGTCCTCCCCTCCTTGGGCCCACTGAGTCTCAGTGTCCTCATCAGTAACTTGGGGATGGTAGTTCCCCCTATGGGTCATGGATATAGCTCGCACTACAGGTACCAGTGATGACAGGATGCATTACAGTCTGAGTAGTCA